GCAAGTTGCGTGCTAAATGCTATACACACTCATAGATACGGTGTTTAACTACCTGCAAGTGAATGACAGACACCGCATTCGAAGTACAAAGGCCCCAAATAGACCTCGAATGCCCCCTAGTATTCATTTTGGCCAGACATTTCAGCAAGTGCCAGCGAGGCTTCAACGCCGAAATACAAAGGGCAGCTACAATAACAATAAGTGCGCTAACAATACAGGCAAATCACATAAAAAACATTGCAGAACCGACTACAGTACAGGTGCAGTGCAAAATCCGTATATTGGAAGGCTTTAGGGGCTTCAGGGGCCACGGGGCAGAATTGCACTGACTGCAGCACACTGGATTGTTCCCACAGTACTCCCAGACGCCTTCGTCATCATCGTCGCCCCACGTCAACCTCTAATACACTTTTCACGCTTTGGTTTTAAATTGAGGTGCTGATTTTACAGCTGATAGCTATACGTATATCTGTGCATATGTATATAATGATATGTCAATGCAAAGCTAAAAGATATACCCACTGTTTGTGGTGCCAAGACGTATTCGTGTTTATGTAAATGGATCGCTTTAGAGCCAAGAACTAGATTTGAAAGGTGTTGTATTTATGCTGCATCAGTTCTGCTTGCAGATCATGTTTATTAACAGGTTAACTCTACTTTCTTGAGTGCCCCACATTGGGCGCCATATGTTACGTCGAAGGAAATTCATACGATGACATCATAATCAACAATTTATAACTTTTATTACTCTCGACAACATTTAAGCAAACGCAGCTCACATACCAGGTATCATTTGGTCGAAAGCATTTTATATGATTTTACCCATTTCCCTTTTGGATTTTACTTTTTAGAAGTTTTAGCAATTGCAAAACTTTTTCCCCACAATGCGAGTATATTTATACGAAGAGAGTTTGAGAGAGTTTTTTAGCTTTTCCAGTTGAAAGTTTTTATTATTAATTGCAACAAAAATAGCGACCGCAATGGGCTGCCAAAAAGTTGAAATAGTTGCAGATGCGATGCCTTGCTAGATATCCAGGCCACAGTCCATGGGATCTGTTTTGGTTTGGCAGGCAGAAAGGCTTGCAGTCAGACAGGACTTTTGCCAACAGCTGTTGTTATTTGTGCCCATGTTCGAGGAAAACTAATAAAACAAATCGCATGTTTAGCCAAAAGTAGCAGATATCTGGTCATTGAACCTGGCATCCTGGCAACCCTCGCCAGCTGACCAAAGTCATTGCCTGTGGGGCGCAGCGCCCCCTAAATCCGATAGATATCTTAAGTGCAGTGCAAATCGAGTTCAAGTCCGAGAAAAACGCAATCATTCAGCCGAACACATCTTATTCCACCGCACGGTGGAGGCGGCAGGGTGGTTGCGAATCTGGAGTAGGAAGTGGGCGTCACTCGGACATGGCCATGCAATTTGTATCCTTATCAGGACCAGCCGCATTGATTGGAACGGCGCACTGTTCGTCCTGTATTTATGCTGGCTGCGGCTTCCGACAGCCGCTCCGTTTTATGGACTCCACCCTCGGTTTTGTCTGGCACTTGACCAGAGCCAAATAAACAATGATGACAGGGATAAGGCACAAACAAAGGGAATGTCCTGGGGCGCTCATGTACAAGTTATGGACGTGAGAAATCCTCAAATAATTGGAAACGCGCGCTTTCATTTGCAGCTGGGAGTGCAGAAAAATAAGTGTAATCCCAAAAGTAATCAACGGGGAATAGAAGATTAAATAAATTGCTTGGCGGGCACTGAAAATAATTAACTGACTAAGTCCTCGTTTGGCTTGGAACTACCATAAAATAATTATTATTATCGCCGAAGTCATTAGCTTGGGCAAAATGTTTTAAAAAATGAATAAAATATGAAATTATTCAAAGAATCAGATTTTTTACTAATTGGGAACCCATAGTTTTCTTAAGCGGAACGATTAACCACGAAAAGAAATATGTTAAGCTCATTAAGATGTTATTAATTACGATAAATATTGTAATAAAAGGCAAGCTTTAACTTCCAATTTGGGAGAACATTTTAAATATCCAAAGAGACAAAATTTATATAACCAAAAATAATTTATCTGTTAAGTAATTATTGGGCATTAGTCGTCGCTTTGATGGCTCTTAAATCTGTAAGGTTTGTTAGGTTGCCATAAAAGATATAATTAAAGTTTCCCTCTCCCATGATAGATTTCGAACCATTAAGATAAAATGAACGACTAAATTGCGTCTTAAGCTGAAATCTACAAATTCCCAGGGAATATGGGCGTTTATGATTTTGGTGCCGTCAAAACCAAAAACGTAAGCAACACATAATTAAGCGTGCCCTCGACCCGGACAATATTTTAAAATATATGGTGGTAAATTACAGTTTCCGTAAAGTTAATCCGCAACTGAAATACATGCCCCTTGATCCAAAAATAAATCCATGTCACCTACGTTCCTACTTGTATTTAAGATGCCTTTGGAGAAAAGCGAAACGTTTTCATTTTCGGAGCCGGTCGCTTCCCATATGCGAAATTAAATGGCGCCTTTTAAAGTCAAATGAAGGGTTCCCCAAATAAAAATGGCAAATGTGGAGGGGGAAAACACAAAGAGCCCAAAAACGTTTTGACGTGTGCCTAAGAGCTGCGGTCTTGACTTGTAGCTGCAACTTGATGTTGGCTGGTGGAAAGGTCAAGGATTATTATACTTCATCATAACTCTATTAAGCCCCTAGTCCGCAGCGGTTGGCAATCTCCGACTTTCGGCTGCCTGACTGCGCATTTGTTTGTATATTGTTATTATCTTTTTATGCGGCACACACGAGAGATCTACAACTGCAGCAACTGTTGCAGCAGCAGCAGCAACAGCAGCAAGCTCCCCACATGAGGCCTTCTGCCACTACAGTATGTCGGTGATAGTTTTGTCTTTGAGCATTACTTTTGTGGGAGTTTTGTTGCTAAGTTTTCTATTACATGAAATTAAGTAAAAGTCCCAAAACGAAAGCCGCCACCCGAAACAAACCAACAAACGAAAAAAGAGGTTTATAATAATAAAAGACATGAAACGACATCAAGAGCAACCAAAAAGCGAAACTTCAAATTCAGCCCGCGGTGAAAATGACTTTCATACGCGCGACACCGACCGGCGCAAGCATTTGATTTGATTATTAAAAGTTTTGCATTACTTCCGAGAAACGGGAAACGAGAAACTCAGACACCCCAACTTGAAGCCCAGCTCCAAACCAGATCCCTTTGATCGATGGAAAGCCTCTATAAGTAGGCTGTTGATGACTGTCTTTGGCATTTTGTCCCGTGTCTCACAATGATGCAGCACTATAATTATGCTGATGGTTGGGGGTTGCGCTGCACCATGAGAAAGATCTACGATAAGTAGGGAATACCTAAGATCTGTTATAAGTTCCATTGCATTTGCTCAAAGCTGTAGGCACTAAATTGCACTTCCATTCGCTTACTTCTCTTAATTGCTCATGCATAGTTCACATTTTGAGATATTAGTACAAGTTTACCTAAGCAAATCAGGCTCATAATATCCCAAAGGGATGTACCCTAAAATTGCATAAAATGACCAAGGAGTACCCCCAACCTTTGTGGGTCGCCGCATTTTCGCCGAGTGTACGATGAGCGCCATCTGGCGGCGCGTGACAGCCGAAGCCAAAGCAAAAGCCTGACGGGCAGGCAATGACGAGTTAATTTCTTCGCCTTCTCATGCATTAATTGAGCAGCCCCGGGCGGAAGGCTGGAATGGGCATGGATGGGCATCTTGGCTATCGAGATGGAGGTGCAGATGGAGATGGCGGAGACAGGAGAGCCATGCAACTTATATAAGCGGCATACCAGACCCAGGCGACATTAAAGCCCAAGAGGAGTGACCACAAGAAATGGCAATACCTGGGGAGCTACCCACCCCGTGGTGCCCTCAATGGCCCATCGGGAAAAAGGTCAAATCGCTCAAACTGGATGATGTTCATTAGCGACACAGAAAGCCACAAAGCGTGAAACTCCAGCGGCTACATCGATCTCTTGGCCTTTCTTTCCCAATCCCAATCCCAAGCCGCGTAGCAGTCCCAATCTTCATCCGCCTCCATTGTCCGTGGCTTTTTGCTGTGACTCTCGACCCTTTTTGTCCGTGTTTACATCAAAAACGTGCCTCTAGTGTTCCTGTCACTGCACAAATTGGACATTTATTTGCTGCCCCAGTCACCACTTTTCCGCACACCTCACACTTTTCCTTTGCATATCTTTCCACTGCCATAGAAACACTCTGGGCCAGAACGTGTTAAGGATTTTGTTTCGCTGCGATTCGATTTGCTTTCGGCAGCTCCAATATAATATAAATATAAATATTCCCAGCAATGAGACAGCGGCTTTTGGTTTCCACTTTTTGTGGCGCCACATCATTCCTCCCGCCTCATTTCGGAGGCGTGGCAGCGATCCGCTTTAGCTAATTGGCGGTTGCCAGCCATCAGGCAGTTACCGCTCGCTACGCCCACAGATGGATAGCTCTTTAAGCCAGACAGCAGCACACCAATTATGCCACGCGGTGCTCTGCAATTTGTCAATTAGCTGATGAGATGCAGACTCCCACTGGAAATGTATGTAAAGACCAGTCGGTGGCAAGAGCGCCTTTCGACCTGTTTCGTCGGGCTTCCTGTAAAGGCTGTACAATTTTAGGCACTAACTGTATCTGAATGGTTTGAGATACATTTTTGACGTACTATTTTACTATCATCACTTACAACTTACCCTTTTTTGTTCATGTCTTGCAGAACTTTCTAGCTGCCAATGCGCAATGCTGGTGGAATGGACCTTTGACCGCTGCCACAAGAGCGCTGAAGTACGCAGGACATGTGGCGCCTGGAATGCTGCTGGTTACGGCTGAGCCCTGTGCCCTGGAGGTCCTGCGAGGAGCCTTTGCCCGCAGTGTGCTGAAGCCACCAGCCACTTATGTAATCAGCTCAGTGGGTGAGTCTCCCGCCATTTAGATCGTAGCAAGCCTAGTACTTAGTTTCGGAACTTGGTCAGTCAAAATACGTGTACGTGTGCTTTGGGGGGAAAAGGCAGAAGGTAGATCAATGGATGACTCAGTCCAAGAGGAGTATGCTCGTTCCAATCGCCAGCGCCAATTGGCCAAACGGCGACTTCTTTTCTGGGCAGGACGTCTGCAGATGATGCCTCACGAGGTGGAAGGGATGTCAGACGAGGAGCTCAACCTTAGGCTGGAAAACATAAAGAGCAAGGAAGCAGCGTTTGAGCAGCGAAAGATTGACTTTCAGCGCTGGGAAGACCTCAACCAGTTAAGATACCTCATGTACGAGGAGCAGAGAAAGTACAACAAGCGCTATGGACCCGGTGGCGCCTCCATCTGGCGCATCCTGGCAATGGCCCAGCACGATCTGGAGGAGAAGCTCCAAATAGATCACCTGCGAGGGAGTTGCCAGCGCTTTCCCTCACCCATGTCCTTAATGGAGGAGCAACGACATGGTGGCGGGAGGCAGAGATTGCTGGAACCAGTGAGATCTAACCTATGTGGCTATAATTCTGATGATTTGGAACTGAAAGAAGACTCTTGTCTCTGTACGCCCAACCCAGAAAGATATAAACAAAGCCACAAGGAACCCCTTAAAAATCGCGTATTACCCCTTTTCAGCGAATATTGCAATTCTCATGCGAGTGAAGACTCCTTTAAATGTAATGGGGAACCATCAAACCTGGGCTTTTGTCCTCTGTGCAACAAGAGACACCTGCGCTTGCCACCTCCTTTCTGATCGGGGAAATAAATCAAAAGACTAGGCCTGTAATAAACCCAGTCCTGACCACTTTGTTTTCAATATATTGGTCTACACAGTGCAAAATGGGCGCTTACACATAATTTCAATTTGAGATACAGCAAAAAAGTACAAAATATATTGTATATATATTTGACTTTCGAGCGAACATCCCCTTTAATCGAAGCATTATTCCTCTGTAATCGAAGCGACATGCACTTCATCAAATATTGATGTGTCTGGCCCGGCTTATGGTCACTGGTCACTGGTCTGCTCCTCTGCGCCTCGTTAGCTGTCAATTAAGTGGACACCTGTGCGGTTAATGCGATGCTGCCGTTGCCCATTTCCCATTTTCACCTTCTCCCCTCCAGGTTTTCACACTTCCATCGCGACGAGGTTCAAAGCCGAAAAGTCCATTGCCAACTACGAAAGTCTATGATTTGATAAATGACCGGCCGGCCGGAGATCGTCGAAGTTGTGGAAACTCTGCGGCCTTTGGCGAACTTTGCTGGGGGAATTAATAAGCTGCGATTTGTGGCCACAGCTCGCAACTCGCAGCAATATATTTTCTTGGTCGGGAGTTATGCCGTCGGTTTATCTCTGTGAAATTCAATTGAGGAAATATCGCTGCACAGACAAAGAGCTGCACTCAAAAACACACAAAAATGCAGACATGTGCAACATATGCTGTGGCCTGCAGAATGCGCTCCATGTTTGCTAATTAACAACTGCAATGGCGTAGAACCCATTAACTGTTAATTACCATAAACATGACAATTCCATTGGCCAACAAGGAGAGCTAACAATGTGCCCGGCTAGATACACTCACAAAGTCCTCGGGGGCACAGAAAAAATACACTTCTAAGTAATTCAAATTTCTAATAAATTGATGAATATACAAGCACGTCTTTCATGGATTCTAAGTTCATAGCATTTCAGATTTTTATACCTAAATGTTAATTACAAGGTCGAATAGCACTCGGTAATTAGGAAACTTATCTTCAGTTACTAAAATGCAGCCGCCCCATTAATGACATAAATTGGAGTCACATGCATTTAAACACACTCCAGTGGTTATTTATTATACATGTTGTGGACAATCCTGTCTATGGCGCATGTTCAACAAATAACTTTTTAAATGTTGTCGCTTTAACTTAAAATAATATTGCAGTCTTACGTCTGGGGAATTGCCTATATGTATTAAATCCACTAAACAATTTTTTAAACATTTTACAGCTTGTCGATGCTTAACAAACTGTAAAGTCTTGACAGCAGTCAACTTGAAACATTTTAAAGACTCTGCGTTCAAGTTTTATAGTTTTCTTTGGTCTGACGCATACAAAAGAAGTATCTCAAAGGGGAAAAGATTTATAGCTCTCCATTGCAAATCGTTGGCCAACAATTACAGAACGTTGATTAAATCGCACTTAAGCATTGCGAGGTATGAAATAAAAGCAACCATTGAAATGGCAGTAACAGTAACAGTAACAATAACGAATATAACAAATAACAAATAACACATTGCATGCAAAACAATCAATCAACGGCAATTTCTCGCTCAATTAGACTACAAACATGCCAAATAAATGCAAAAGAAACGAAGAAAAGCAAATTAAATTCAGTTTCGTGTTAAAGAGCCAACTGGAGAAGGAGACTCGACTTTTTTCTTTCCTACGGGTGGGTGGGAAAAGCGGGGGGAAATCGAGGAAAATCAGTGGAAAATGCCGTCGCTTGCCGCTTGGCAATTTGACAGCGGAATATCGGTGGAAGCGCCAGAAAGGCAAAACAGACAAATGGCAAATGCAAAATAGCTGGAAAGCGGAAAAATTATGCAGTTTCCCAGATGCCGAGAAAATATATAAATGGGAGATATCGGGAAAGAGAGAGACAGCTAGAGCGAGAGCTGTCGGTAACTATGATGGCGAATAAAAACTAAAGAGCCGCAAATCAATTTCAACACGATTTCTCGTCGCTGAATCTCCGCTGAAAGTGAAATGTGGCCATGACACTGGATCTGGAGAGGAGCCGCAATCACCATTCATCGATCGCCCGTCCGTCAGATAATTGTAACTTAATATTCGAGCCATTAACAAATCGCAAGTCGGTAGAAATCAGCCAAGTCAACAGCGAATGTTGCTGGTGTTGCATGCAGATGGGGTCTCTGATAATGCTGTGGAAAAATTAAAAATGGAAATGGAATTGTGATGCAAAATTGTTGCAAAATGACCATTTCAAATGCACATTTTATTCAGCAACTAGCATAAAGTCATATTCACATTTCATATTAAATTAAGATTTAGTACCCTGCAAGCCTGAAATCAAGTTGCAATAGTCAGCGAATCTAATAATAAGCTGCTGTGATCGTCGAATTGCTATTAAATTAATAAATAGTCCTGCAGCTGTTTGTTGATCGATGATGTAAGCAATCTGTAATGCCAAGTATTTCTCTTGACTGTGCATAATGTGTAATTTCACCGTTAAGCTCTGGCCAATTTCTTGAAAGGTTTGTTAACCTCTTTATGTAGGGAGCAATTCTCCAAAGCGTAACCAAGCTTGCCAAAAAAAAAGTATGGGAGTCATTGTCATTGGGGAGTTGACTTGCACGTTCATCGTCATCATGGTCGCTTGAACACCGCCCTCATCACCATTCTGAAGAGCTTTACCCAAGCGATTATTGTAATTTTATTGTTCTCTTTCTTCCGAGACTGGTCTTCTGCCCTATTCTGCTGTCTACACCGCTGATTACCCCTTCTAGGTAAAACCCTTCGGTTAATGAGGTCAGCCTATTTGATTTTAGCTCTTGGCCACGCTTCACGGATTTTTCCCTCATTTAGCGGGAAAGTGTTCTGCGGAAAAGCGTACAGTTCCGCCATTGTTTTGCGCTGCTCCGACGCACCAAAAATGGCTGGCAATTTAGCCAAATGCGACACGATTCTAGGGCCCGACTTTATCCCATCATCTGCAGCTCCCAATTGGAGGTTGCACAACTCGACAGACTTGGCAGGCTCCCAGGTTCAGGTCCACTAACCCGAACCCAAGCCCAAACTCATTGACCTTTAACACACAGTGAACAGGGACGGCGAAAAGTGTCGCCAAGCCATTTTTTCTCTTTCCTCGGACTGGGCTTAAATTTGGTTATTTATGTAGTATTGCTTTTTTTGTGGACAAATCGTGTTGCTCCTTATTTACCAGGCTATAAAAAGCTGGTGGCCCGATGTCCGACTGTCTGGCATTTGCTGGTGTTGCAACCACGTAAATGTCAATTTGCATTTCGTGAGGCGTTGCATAAACAGCAGCTCCCCCTGTTACCCCCATTGCCTTGTTTTCAATTTGTTACTGATCTGAAATATTTTTATTAACAGACGGAAACAATTAGCGTCGCCTCGACGAACGCAACAAGCGCCGGCCAAAAAGTTAAAGCCATAGCTCTGCATTTTATTTTATTTTCATTTTATTTTTTTTTTTTACGATTTTTTGTACGATCTGCGGACAGGCGTATCTGTTTCCTTTTGCCAGCAACTGCGTGGCCTTTCCCCCTCCCCCTCGCCATGCCCGTCCCCCCGCGAATCAACCACCCACCACCCCCAAGCGATACGAGAAGGAAAACCAAAATGGGAAATTGAAAACGCGAACGAAACGTTTCAGACACAAAATCGTGATTGCCTTCGTTTGGCCGCCAGACATTCGTTGTTGTTCCTGCTGCAGTGCTCCAGATGTGGATGAAGGGGAGGGAGTGAAAAAGGGGTAAGGGGGTCAACAATGGGGCGATTTAGGGGTGGTGATCCTGGCTCCTTATGTAAAATGCATTCCAGGAAAAGCGGTAGAAATGCGAGCAGTATAGCAGATCAGGATATGATTGAGAATCAACTATTACACTGATATAAATATCATACATATATTGTGTCAATTCATTTTTATTTATTATTGTAGTATGTGTACGTAACATACCTACATGACCTATTAAAAATATAGTACATATTTTTGGTTTTGTTTTACCATTTTATGTATCATAGTGTAACATAGTGTGGGGAAGTCATTTTGAAATTTTTAATTTATATTATTAAACTTAAATTTAAATTAAATTGTTTAATTTTGAACCTCCTATCTTATTACTCGCAATTAAGGACCTTTATTTACTATGACTTTAACGATATCTCATTAGTCGAAAGCCCCTGAATATATGATTGAGAATCAACTATTACACTGATATAAATATAACACATATATTGTATGAATTCATTTTTATTTATTTTTGTAGTATGTGTACGTAACATGACCTATTAAAAATATAGTAAATATTTTTGGTTTTGTTTTACCATTTTATGCATCCAAACATAGTGTAGGATAAGTCATTTTGAAATTTTGAACCTCCTATTTATTACTCGCAGTTAAGGACCTTTATTTACTAAGACTTTGGTGATATTTCATTAGTCGAAAGCCCCTGAAATTTTTCGAAGCACAACCGAACCTAACTAATGACTCGCTGACGACTTTCCTAACTGTAAATCCCAATAAAAGACTCTCACTGACTAACTGATTTTTAACTTGATGCCCACCACATCCGTTTTGCCAAAAACTCGGACTAGCTGACTGATTGATTAATTGCCCAGTGAAAACGAAAGACGCAGTCTTTGTCCCAGATGACAAACTCCTGCCTGCGGCTGGAAAATCTTTTTCTCCTAAGCTTCATGTGCATTTTTCAGCTTGTATCGAAAAAACTGAAAACCAAAAACCGAACCGAAGCGAAACGAGACTTGCAAATGATAATAAATATGAAAAAGACGTGAAAACGATTGCCGCGATTTTCCCACCAACGCTTTATAGATGGTGTCTGAAAAGCAACCTGCCGTCCCTGCCCCACGCCCCAACGCCCCCCCCCTTCGGCAACCCCTTCCCCGCCAAGTTTTCCCAACTTTTCGGCCTCCTGGAGCCGCCTCCTTTTTGCCGCAGTTTCATCCGTCTTAAGTAGAGTGAAAGTGTTGCGTTTGGGTTTGAAATTGTGGCCACAGTTGCAATTGTTGCTGCCTAGGCTTATGTTATTGTTGCTTTAG